CAGAAGACTCATGATGTAGTATACAAGAATAAGAAATCAAGTATGTTACATTAACTTTCTATAGTTATGCTTCATTTTAAGTAGTAGCTTTACCAAAAAAAAAAATTGAAAAAACAAAGTTAGTAGATTTTCCTTGTTCTCCTTCATGTCTTACAGCAGAACTTTTTTAAAAAGCAAGAACATAAGAGAGAATACTTGTAAAAAGAGATAGTAATGCATTAGATTTGAAAGCACGTTGTTAGGCATGAACGCCACTGAAGTTACAGATGCTGTCTTGAAGATACCTGGGAATTTATGTTGCTTGCTGGCCTTAAATTGTTCTAATTCTAGTTACTAATATTGTTAATATTCTACTTTTTAGAACTACTAATTACTCTGAAAATAGAAAGGATTTTGCCACCCACATACTTTAAGCACAAGAAAGCTAAAGAATATGACCCTTAATATGTTACATGTCTTTCAGTGTGGACAAAAAGGTCAAGCTTTTCAGACTAAATCCCCTCTTACAACAGACTCTTCCTACATGTTATCACATGCGTCTGTATACCTCCTCCCATCCGCAGACCTGACCCCCACCTCCCAGCCTTATTTCAAGCTGCTTGACCCAGATGACCTCTCATGTGCAAATACTACATTGTTTCACATCTTCTGGCACAAACGATTGGTCATTCTAGCACTGGTTTTGTAGACAGGAGCATGCATAACAGTTTATTTAGGAAAATTTTCAAAAAAAATAGGTGCATTTTTAGCTTTGAGGTGCACACAACTGAACTCTCAAATTCCAAGTGCTACAGTCTGGCAGGACGACAAGCCCAACTTAAAAGAAGGTGCAAGAATACAATAGTTCTGATAAAGATGAAACAAGCCAGTTGCAGGCTGTTATTTTACCTCTGATGGGGCATTTCTCCAACTGCTTTCATTTCTCAAACAGTTGTAGCATGAAAACTAAGGAACTCTCTGCTAGGCATTCAATATGCCACAAAAGTTTTGTTAGGAAGGTCTAGCTGCTCACTGCTTTTCAAGGTGTTTAACCTAACTTACCATTCCTAGATACGGGTCAACTTCAGGCAGTATATATTAAGTGACAACGCAGATGTAAACGTCCAAATATCTTTTGAACTCTGGCCAGCCCTGCTCAGCAGTAGAGGCACAGTATCCCAGACTCATTGTTATTTGGGCAGCTGTCCACTTTAAAAGGTCTCCATCCCCCTGCACCCCACCAGAAGAATTCTTCTAGGAATAGGTGGACAGTTCACCAGCTGTTGCCGACTCTGCTGCAGGTATGTTTTACAGGACAGGCCATGCACACTTCAGGCACGTTCCTGCAATAACAAATCCCTTCCACAAGTCTCCCAGCTAGCACATCCGTCCCTCTGCTCCCCGTTGCCGTACTAGGCTCGTGACTCCAGCTCATCCTACCTACTGCTGTTGGTCCCACACAGATGTTCCTGGAACTCTTATCAGATATTTCAGTACTTCACTTCAAAAGGAAGTAACAGTCCTCTGCCACATCCCAGGAAGCAGTTTCACATTTTCTTCCTTAGCTTTACCATAAAGCTTTAATACAGTGAGAAAAGTACCATCTCCATAAATTAACATCAGGTTCCTCCACTAATGAACTTCCAGAGCCAGAGGTGCTCAGATACACATGGTCTAATTTGTATTTTCCAGCGCAGAACATTCTTTTGGCCTACTGCATTTATAATTTAAGTTAGAAATTAAGTGCTGCTCCCTGACTGTATGTCCATCTGCAGCTAACCCTCAGAAATAAACAGTTTTGGTTTCAAACTGAAGACAATTAAATGAACACATTTTGCCCTCGTTTCTATAGAGCAAAATAATTAAACCTAGTTAGTTGCATTGTACTCAAGTCGGTTTAAGTTTAGAACTAAAACTACCCTCCCATGAAAGCATGCAACCCGAAAATGCAGATGCCCCTGCTGGAACATCTACTCCAAATATAGCTCTGTATTTGCTGCCAAGCTTCTTGCATCCTTTGAGGTGTCTAGCCAGAGAACATAACTGCGTAAGAAGTCACCAGCATACACTACACTTCTACATGTAAAACATGACGAATCAGTTTGTTAACACTGTGGTTATGACTTAACAGACATCATGAAGTACTAATCTGTATCTGTTGCTCAGAGATGTCTGACCCCACTCCCTCCAAGGAAACGTGGTTGGAACACACTGTATTGATGGGAGAAGCTGCACACTACGACATATAATACAGGTTTTGTTTTTTGTTTTCTGTTTTTTCATTCTTACTGTGATATTTTATTAAAAAAACTGAGGTGGAAGATGACAATTAAAACTAAAAGCTGTACTCTCCATATACTATTTTTGGAGCTATACTAGCTGGTGGATGTTCATTCCCACTCATTTGATACAACCAGTGAGTTCAGGAATACTGGTACTTTCAGGGGGAAAGAGAGGCTGAATGCAGTTCTGGGAAATTTAAGAATTTCTTACTTAAGAATTTCAAGAGGGGGCAAGGAAAAAGAACAACAAAAAGTAAGGTTAATTCAGATATTCATGAGCCAAACTCTGAATTCATGGGGCCCAAAAATTAATATAGTAATCAAATGGTCACCACAGTAAAGAATAAGCCCCCTTCCTCCAAATTTATCCTAATGTAATACTGTGTTAACTACACTGAACAGCTGGCTACTAGACAGACAACTTCTTTTTTTTCCCCCCAGATTGTGTTTAACGCTCCTCATTTATTGTACCAGCCTAAGAACTGAGTAATACCTGAAACACTGAAGTGAAAATATTCAGAATTAATTCGAATATAGCAGAGTTGGCATACAGCTCCACTACCTTTTACTCACTTGTTGGTAAACTGGGATTCTAAGGTAAATTTAAAAAAAGATAGCTACCCAAGAGATTGGCATAAACCTTTCACCCAGACTGCTCACCCATTGAAGCAGAGGACAACATGTTAACAGACCTGCTGCGACACTGTTTTCCCTTCAACTTTGTTTATTGATGTACTGAACATGAAAAGGTACAAAGGATCCAAACACAAAAGAAAACGTGTACAGCCTCTTAAATACTCAACAGAATATATTTTCTATTCCAACAGATGTGAATTAAGTCATACTATACAACTTCAAATAAATACCAGCCTTACATTTTAATAAGTGCTCTGATAAACACCGTAAAGTGAAGCCCAATTTACATGCCTTCTCATCAATGCCTTTGTTTGCTACAGTAGTATAGGAAAGAAGCATGTAGCTACTGTTTTCCCCACAGTGGAAAGGCTGTGTTTTCTATAGTATATACAATTTTTAATGCAGAGGATTAGCTTTAACAATCTAAATGCACCTAAGAATGAGAAAGTGCTCAGGAAGCCAATTGATTTTTTAATAGCATTGAGTGGGTCAGCATGAAAACTCGCTTATTCACTTTAGCACGCGCTTCACAGTATATGTACTGTACTATACTGAAAAATTTATAACTACAATTTAAAAGAATAAGAACCAAAAGCAACTGCAAAGGTAATGTACAACTATGTTATGCATAGCACATTGCTTTTTCTAAAGGGGAAAGCATATGAGCATCTCAGTTTATACAAAAAGCAGGACGTAACTATATAGTTGTCAGTGCATCCTGGTGAAGGCATCAAAACCCTCAGCTGTTTTAAAAATTTATTATAAGCTAGATGCTAATCAGAAAATATTTTGTCTTTTTTTTTCCTCTTAAATTTCTTCAATACATGGTAAAGACTTTTACTATTTCCCCAAATAGTGATTTAAGCATCATACAAAGTTAAATTTCAATAGCATACAGGTATTTATGGTTTTGTATGAAAAATGTAAGGAAATTTGTTCAAAACCTATGATTATACTCGTTTTTACCACAAATATACTTATAAACAAAAATGTAGCATCACCATAAACAGCTGAAGCTAGACTATCTACAGACAAAAATAGCAACAGATCTGATGCACTGTAAATTCAAGTCCTCAGGACAACAAAAATGAATAAGCAGACCTCAAGTAACAATGTTAATGCCATTTACAAAGGAAAAAACTCATACAGAAACATTCAAAACCTGAACATCACTTGGCATGTAAATTAAAAAAAAACAACTAAAACCAAAATTAGCTGAAAGAGTCATAACTCAAGGTCTTATTTACATTACACAAAGCTCAGGTGTTAGCCTTGAACATAACTTTCAAAATACCTCCAAGTATGTCCAACTCAGACCACTTCTGATGATTTGCTACTGTGCAAACCACGCACGTCTTTTCTTAAGACAAAAGAATTCTTCAAACAATAGCAAGTACATCACTAAACACCATGAGCTCTATCTGAAGGGAATTCTTTAGGAAGAACAGATTTTTTTTTCCCCAACTTTTTTTTTTTTTAATTTGCAGCTTGCTTTTATATACTTTTTTTTAAATTTGTTTCAAAATCACACATTAATGTGAGCCACCTATCACTTACTAACCAGGATGACCAAAGACCCCACTGATGATTATACAAATGAAACCAACAGTGCATCCCATTGATTCTACTTCGTAATACAAAGGTCTCAAAAGTATTTCTACATCATAAATCTCTCTAAGTTTCCCCCAACAACTGCAAATTTCCTGGTAAGTTTTAAAAGCTCACTAGGTGTCATATGAAGAGATTTCTCAAAGTATTCAAGTCAAAATATTTGTTCCAGGACCAGTAAAAAGTTTCTCCAAATTTTTCTTTTTTATAAAAATAGATGCTTTTTTAAACCCACATCAAAGAGGCTCTTATCTCTTTGGCAAGGTACTGCTTTACGAAAAGTTCTCCAGTATTCTTACAATAAGCTTTTATAATGTGTTCCCCTTCCCCAACCCAAATGATAACTATAAAATAAATACTGCTGATAACTTTATTATAAATAAACTGTAAACTTCAAATACGTCTCAAACAACAGAACAGCAATGCATTAAAGTGTAACTTAAACAAGGCTAATCACAAAATTATACAACATAAAAACAACTCAGAAAGTATAACACAAAGCCTCAATATTTACTCATAGGTTCAAGGCAGTCATGTAAAAAACAAAACAAAACAAAACAAAAACACCTTCCCTTAGCTGAAACATTTTAAAAGGTTCACCTTCTTCAAAGAAGGCAATAGAATGCATTGTAACAGGTAAAAACCCTGTACCTCTTGTCAATATTCAAACACAAAAGATATTTAAGAAGTTTTAATTCAAATATTAGCAATAAAAAATCTCACATATTCTTAGGATGCTAAGTAGTCATTTTATCCCCATTTCCACACTGACTTACAACAAAGACAGTTACATAAAGTTTCTCTTAACTTGCCTTTGTTGTATAGTTTTCATATTTTAATGCACTGAGAATAACTTTTTAGGCTTTGTGCGTTTTGTTTGTTTTAAAGGAGACCTGCAATACTCTGTCCCCAAGGCGATATCCATTCAGACTGGCTATTGCCATAGCTGCCTCATCATAGTTTGTCATAGTGACAAATCCAAAACCTTTGCACTTGTTAGTGTTAAAGTCACGAATGACCTTCACATTGGTTACTGCTCCAAAGGGTCCAAACATTTGCCAGAGGATACTCTCATCAGCATCAGGGGCCAAATTGTACACAAAAATGCACCATCCAGTTCCTGCATGTCCAGGGATATTAATTCCAGCCAAACTGGTCATTCCATCAATGGTCATTGGAGGAAACCTACTAAAGAAGGGGAGAAACAAAAACAAACACAAACACAAGCATAAAAAGGCTGTTTACAATGAATTCTGAAAAAAAAAAACAAAAATGAAAAAAGGAATAAATACAAGGCTTTTCATAGTGTGCATAGACATCTCAGCTAGATAATAAGGTAATACTGCAAGTTTTTTCAACTGCACAAATAACAACAATACTATACAGAAGTGGGGAAACAGTGTTTGGCCTCGCAGAAATAAGCAACATTTAGAAAAACAAGAAAAACATGCTATAAAACTAATGAGGATTAATGATAAATAAGACATTTCAAACAGGAAATCCATGGGACTGCTGCAAAAGATTCATCTCTTTCATGCACAATGCACTAACATGAACAATTTCAGCTGCAAGTCTCAACATGCAAGAGTCCAGCATTAGTCTTATCAAAAAAGTAAGAACAATACTCAAGATACTTTCCCTGATCAACTAGTTTGTTGGAAAGTTATTATGAACTTAACAATTCTTCATTACCTCTTTACTCCGTAAGCCATGTTCAGCAGATTGTCCAACCTGCAAAACATTTAGCAAAGCGTTCAGTCTTCAGACTCTTCCATCCCTAATCTTAAGGAAACTTGGTATATTATTGCCAGTCTCCCTGCATTATATTCTACAGAACCTGACACAAATCTTGAGCACCATAAAAAAGCAGCAGCACCTTACTACACCTGATACATTTAGTGCAAGAGCATGCAGATATTCTTGTACAGTCTGTCCACAGCCCTCAATAATTCAGTTCAAAATGTCCACCTACAACAAGTTAGGGTAAATCAAATATTGTTAGCATAAATATACAGTCAGTGACCACTCCAGTGAAACTCTCCAGATCATAAACTTGTTTCTGATCTTACTGAGACATCTGACACTATGCTGACAGAAATCACACAAATTGCACAGGGCTTAGGAGCAGTAGCAAATACTAGGACATGCACTGGAATAAAAGAGCAAGCAATTACTCATTTTTCTATTCTAGAATTTCTGGAATAAAACATTTTAGGATATGAATAGATATTAAATCATAAGCTTTCTCCATATATTTCTTCTCTCATCATTCCTTAACCTCGTAAAGAGCAGCACGCAACCCCACCTCCAATGATTTTAGGGTTATCCAGCTGATACCTGGAACATACAATGCTTAAAAATCCTGGTAAGAGCCTTCAGGAATAAGATTAAAGTGCTTCTCCAAGAAACATTCCTCAGAGAAGTGGGTTTTTTTTTCCTAGAAAGGCTCAGACATGCCAAGGACAAACGAACAGAGGAATTCTCTTGCTTAAAGGTTCTCTTCAGGACTCTACAAAAGATGAGTTTAGAGAAAAAAGGGTCACTTTTAGTATGAAATGAATCGATTCAGTTTTTAACTGAGCTAAGACCACTTCCAGGGACAGACTTCCCCCTCCACTCAGTCCTGGTGAGGCCACATCTGGAGTGCTGTGTCCAGTGCTGGGCTCCCCAAAGCAAGACAGACATGGACCTGCTGGAACGAGTCCAACAGAGAGCCACAAAGATGAAGGAGGGACTGGAGCATCTCTCATGAGAAGAGGCTATGACGGCTGGGACTGTTCAGCCAGAAAAAGAGAAGGGGGACCTTACCAAGGTGTATAAATACCTGATGCAGGGAATAAAGAACACTGAGCCAGACTCCTCTCAGTGGCATCCAGTGACAGGATGAGAGGCATTGGTCAACAAACTGATATACAAGAAATTCCATTTAAATATATATATATGCGCATATATATATTTTATATACATATATATATATTTTTTTTTAAACTGTCGGGGTGATTGAGCACTGGAACAGGTTGTGGAGCCTCCATCCTTGGAGATATCCAAAACCCAACCGGACAGGGTTCTGAGCAACCTGCTCTAGTTGACCCTTCTTGAGCAGAGCTGGGAGCACAGGTGAGAACAGCTGATAATTTCCAAAGGTACCTTCCAACCTCAACTATTCCACAATTCTGTGAAATAGACTGGTTAGGGACAAGACAAGACAGTTCACATAGCTCCCTCCTTCCCTGGGTGGTACTCAAGAAAAACTCCATTCTGTATGCAGAATCATCCTAAAATGCATGTTTGTTTTAATATACAGCTAGTATTTAAAATAAAATTCAGAATGAAATCTATATTGACATAGGCCCATTATCATTTACACATTTCTAACAAAAGATACATATTAATATCAAATGGTATAATTTAAAAATGTAAGAACTGTTTACTTACTTCATTACTGTAACCTGCTGTAGATGCAAGTAAAAATTTACAAGTTTCCTCTAAAAGGGAAGGCTGAAATCTCAGAAATCCTGAAACACTCACAGCTTATGTCCTTCTGGAGAAGTTTTGGAGAGGACTGAAGAATTCCAGAAACACTTACAAGTCCTTGCTGTAGGACATCAAACTGAAGACTCCATATAGTAACAGCATGACCATAACCCAGTTTTCATAAGATATTTGGATGACTTAAGACCTTGGAACGATGTAGTCAGCATGTTCAGAGGCATTTACTGAACAAAACATCTAAATGTTTTAAGTAACTGCTTTTGAAAGTTCAAGATTTTTATTGACAAAAATATGATGAATGAGATGACTACAATACTCCATGTTCTTCACTTTGGCATGACATTGAAATTTACTCCAGTTGTGCATTTTCAAACCACTATCAACTGTTAATTAAAACTGAGCTGTTAAGTAGGTACGGTTTTTTACATGTGAAAGACATGAGAACTGAAGTTAGAGCACGTAAGTGAATTCAAGAGGTTTTTTCTGCTAGTGCAATTTGTGAACTATGCAGTTAGCAACACAGCTGCGGCAACGGCAACTAAACAAAGCCCTAAAATAAAGACAGGTTTCCTACGGTTACAACAATTACAACAATTTAAGACTTGTCAACGCTGTCTCTTTTTCTAGAGAAAAGAAAATAAGTCTGAAGGCCTTCCAAAACCTAATATCTGGAACAGTTTACTTTGCCAGTCACTTTACTTTGTCAGTCATGTCCACCTTGTTCTTTCTTCCACATCCATAGAAATCAAAGATTTTACTCTTATTTACTAGAGATTTGATATCTACTCAATGATTTCTGTTACTATTGTACTTAAGTGCGGTAAATCACATCTGCTCTTTCAGGGTTGTTTCAGGCACTACTTGACGCAATCTCAGCAAAACCTCCTAGTGAAAGCACATACATAAAGACAGTCTTCCTTTTTTAAAGAGCCACAAAACCAATCACAAAAAAGTTTCAATGCCTAGTTTTGTAGGACATGTGTAGTCTGTTGATATTCTGCAACTGCAAAGAACTTTAGGTCCTGTCTACAGGAAACGTAGTTGAAGAATTTTTACAAATCGTAACAGACATAGCTGGAGTAGATCAGTTTTTTAAAAATGCATTATTTAAACACAGAAGCTACCCCAGTTGGTATCAGTAATACTGAACCCAGTCGAGTATCTGGGAACAAGTGTACTTAGAAGAACTCAAGGAGTTAGAAAGCCAGTCTTGACACAATGTGCTGAATGCTGCAGTACATAGGGTTTATCGGTAAGAGTTATTTGTCTCATTTTTCAGGTCTGCACAACAGCTCCCTCATGATATTAACTCAGGATAGTTCATTCCGGCTCATCCTAAAAGGGCGACTTCCACCCTGTGCTCTGTACTGGAGCAGGCATTCCTAACTATGGGACGATGGAAAGTCTACTTTTACTCAGTCTGAAGCAGCCTGCTTAAATTAATCCTTTTATTCCCTTGAAAAAAGGTAAAAAAAAACTCCATGCAGAAATGAACAAAATCAGTTATGCCTTTTCCTAGGGCGGGCAGCCAGGCTGAGCCAGTGTTGACCATTACCCCTATAAGGCACTTGCAGTACATTGTAAGGCTGAGAAGCTGAAGAAAACAAGATTCAGAAGTTCTGCCAAAAGTACAGTCCATGAACTCTGAACATATGGACTAGGAGCGAGAGGCTGTCAACGCAAAGCCTTCACAGTTTGGTTCATTACCTTTTAAAATTGCCAGGTGAATTTTATTTCTTGAAAATAGTGTTTCACTGTATTAATGTTTAACAATTCTAATTGCACAGGCCAGAGGTGGGGTGGGGGTAGGAAGAAACAATCAAAATGACTGAAAAAAAGTCCAGTGGGACTCAGGAATGTAGTTAATACAATATTTGTTTCCCCTCTGCTCTTGCCTTGCGTCCCTTTTCAGTACACTAAATATCACAGGGAACTGCAGCTGTAGTTTCAACACCATGGGAACACAGATCCACAAAAGATGATACACGTGGAAAAATCTTTGAATATGTTTTCATTATAAAAGTGTGGAATAAGACGAGACAAAACGTGGCACGCAAGATTTAGACCATTAACTAGAGAAAGAACTGAAAGCCAGAATGGGGAGGAAATATCAGAAGGAAGTGGCCGGCTGTGGCATGCCACATGGTTAAGAAGGAAACTGAATTGTCTAGGTCAATGTTACTTGACTTGAGTTGCACATTATGTCAATAGTAGCCTACGAAAATAAAAATATTCTTAAAAATAAAGAGATCTTTTACAGATTGGCTGGAAGAAAAAAAATCTTGGTTTAATCCTGACTGTCTAATTAAGTATTTTTATTAGATACTGAAAAGTTGCAAGTTGCAACTCGTTTCTGCTTTTAGTTGTATTCCTGGAGAATAGCTGTAAAAGTTCAAAATTTTCAAGGATCTCTTTCCCGCACACAAGTCTGATAATCAGGGAGGGGAAGGAGTAAAAGGAAATGAATTGGCAGACCCCTAGAGAGCAGAAGCTTCCAACAGCAGTTCAATCACACACAAGTACAACTTACCTAAAACGTTGAGCCTGCTGAGCTAGAGGTCCTGGATATCTTCTGTTTGGAGAATGATACAGCTGAGAAAGGATGGCCTGATTGGTTTTTTGGCTTGGGTTGTTAGCAAACTTTACAGTGATGGGCTCTGTGGCACCTGGAGGTTTCTGGCCATTCAAACCCTTGATAGCCTCTTCTGCTTCAATGCGCTTGTCAAACCGGATAAAGCCCACGCCTCTTGATACTCCTGTACAGGAGGAAGAAAGCATACAATAATTAGCTCAGAGACTCTGGAATGTTGAACATTAAGACGATTTCATTTATTTTGCCCGAGAACTGAGCTTTGCTGATAGAATAAAGACTTTACTTTCCTCCCCCACCTTTTTTTTTTTTTTTAAATAAAAAAAATGCAAGACCAGTAAGATATGCTGTGTGGAAAGAAAGTTTGGAAAGGTGAGAAGAAATACAAGACAACTTAAATACAGACAGTCAAAGGGAAAATCCGAAACAAGGTGATTGGGGGGAGGGGGTAATGAAGATGAAGGGGAAGAGGAAGGGCAACTTTCAGAACAAGCTGAACCATAATGTCTATTCAGTTGATGCTACTTTGCAGTATCCACGTTTAAGTAACTCATGTAAATAGATTACTCATCTGCTCCATAGCTGCAAGAGATGGCTTACGGTCTCCTACAGCATCCCTTGAAGCTCACATTGGAGTGAAGATGCTGAAGAGACCAAGAATAAAGTGCAGGAACTACATTACTGTAATGGGAATTATTGCCCTATTTTAACAGTCACTGTTTATTTCTATAAAGCAGACATTCAGTTTTAGCAAAGCAGACTGCTATACACTTTTCTTATTTGATTTTGGGGGGGGGGGGCAGGGAAGGATTTAAGTCATAGATTTTTTTCTTAGTATAAAGAAATCAAAGACAATATGCAAGGGTATCAGCAAGTGTCTATGAAAGGTCTTAAAAATATCAAATTCCAAAACTTACACTGTAGTTTGAATAAAATACAGGCAGACATTAATATTAATTGGTTCAGGCAAGAGAGTTATTATAAATAAACTGCAAAGCACGTAAAGTAACATTCTTGAAACTATTCAGAGGCCTCTTACATTTTGGTTCATGAATACAGAGATAAGCTAGAAGCTTGTCCTCACTTGAAAAAGACAGTGACAAGAAATGTATTCTGCTCAAACAGTGACAATTTAAACCATCAAAGTGACAATGAACAGGCGTAAGAAAGATTTAAGAGGCAAGTGTCACAGCCTCAGTGTTGCATTTTTCATATGTCAGTGTGTCACAACCTTATTATTCATACAATTGAGTCTATCTTCTCTTCCTTCTCAAAAATTTGAGAAAAAAGCTGAAGGCTGAACAAGTCTATGCGAGAGAAGTACTGTGCACATATTACGATTTATGAGTGTTTAGAATTACAGTGCACACATTTGCAAGTTGATTTATATTTACTTGTTTTGCCCATTTGTCAAATCCTACCACTTCTGTGCATGAATATATGAGAATATACTATAAACAACTGTCCACTGCATATTTGCAATGCACAGTCCTTTAAAGCAGGACCATTTGAAAGTTTTACGACTTTCTGCTGCTGAATGTTGTCACCCGTGATGACATGCAACTTTGAAAACAAGCCTCAAGAAAAGCAAACCCAAGTTATCTTACTCAGAAAACAATCAGATGAGCAACGGAGTTTCCCCTGCTTTCCCTCTCCCCTGCCCCCAGTTTTTTTTTTTTAGTGGGATAGGAATTCTTGTTTCCATGCCTCAACTCCTTCACGTTTTAGGAACTCGATAATTCTGTGCTGAGCTAGCAGTTTTGATCATTTATTTTTGTAAGATGAGTGCTGGACACAGGTAAGGAAACAAATCATAAAGCTCCTGAATTTCAAAACCAGCCACTGAGCTATCATAAATATACAACAAAAAGACGTGTATTACTGTCCAGCTCTGGCCAGTTTCAGTCAGATACTACAATAGGGCAAATAAAGAACAAAATAACCCTAGTAGGTTAAGGCACTACTAATCACAGAATTTATCTGCTCCTGAGGAGCAAAAAGGTTCATATTTTTCAGCATGCCCATGGTTGATACGGCAACCTGGAAAACAGTCTTAGCAGCAATTACCAGCCTGGGTGTTTTGTAATCCTAGCCTCAGAGAGCCAGCTGTGGATTCCTGCATAAAGGTTTACTTTGTAAAAAAATTGTTTAATAGCATTTCATAAGGAGCATAGGGACTATTTTCACACAGCAGCTTGGAAAGGAAGATTATAGCAGCTGTAAATTTATTACAAGCCGTGAAACAGGCTTTAAACCTGCACCTTCAGGGTGGAAATGACTCAGGCTGGCTCAGTATGCGCCACAATCTATTTTTGTCCATGCATATTTATGAACAATTCCAGCAGAAAACTTCATTTTCTGGCCCATATACACCTTCCCCTCTTTTTTAGGCTGGTAATTTAAGAAATATTTCACCTTCTAATACGACAATCTTGCCTCTAAGAATGCATGAAAGAGAAACGCAGAACTGCCTACTTACCCGTGACTTGGTCAACTAGAATACGAGAAGTAATAATGCGTCCATATTGGGAAAAGAGCTGCTCCAGTTCTTTTTGGGTCATTGTTTTTGGAAGTCCGCTGACATACAAGTTTGCATCTCTGATAGAAGCTGAACTTGGTCGTGCATATGAAACCTTCAGAAGAGGAAAGTTAAAGAAAAAATACATACACACAAGAATCAGCCTCTATCCTCAAAAGGGTTGAAATGAAGCAGTACCTCCTGAGACACTGAAATGTTTAAGGTAGGCCAGGGAAGTTACCTTGCAAAGCCAGGAATATGTTTTTGGTGTCGATTTCTGTAAGAACACTAAAGGAATACAGCATAGATCATACAGGAGAAGTTGACTACATCAACTCAGATGTAGAACTCTCCTTCATTAAAGGAGAAAAGCAAGGTACACACTCCAGTAAGTCTTGATAGAGAGAAAGCCTTCTTTTTCCAGCTATTTTAAAATTAAAAAGAAGGATTCAGGGATCTAAGGCAACTTTCCTTTTGCTTACCATTAAAAACACAAGGGATAAAGATTTCACTTTGGTATCAAGATCATGAACACAAAGACAATTGCACCCTTTGTAAATGTTTAGCTCAATATCAAATGAAACAACCATCCGTAAGAGTCAGGACAAGATAAACTGCTAAATATCAATCATTTATGCAGCCTTAAGGACAAGGGATTGAAGCGGGATTGCAGCATGCACTTCTGCTGCACAGAAGCTTGCTCTTTTCTGCAACAGTGAGGTTCACAACCACACACTGAATAGCAGTGAAAGTTCCCCAGGTCCCTTTGGGCTGAAGTTTTGACCTGCTTCATAAAGCACTGCTCAAAGACATTTTACTACCTTCACAAAGGCAAGGACAAAATTAGAGTCTTCAAGCCTTAAACACGTGCTGCAAAAACAGCATGTTGAGAAGAGTTCAGTATCTCCCACTGAAGCCTATACAAGTGAACTACCTTTATTACAAGAAAGATATTGGAACCTGAAGTCCACGTATACAGAACACGATAGGCCAAAATAATTTGGCACTTTCACTGTGCCAAAAGTATAGTTAAAAAGGAGCTCCGAGATGTCACCTGATTTATCCCCATTCCTTTCAAGGCAGGATCAGCTGCCTCTGGGCAACTGGAACTTAATTTTCTTAGGACTAGACCTTTTGGTTGATCATTTAGCAGTTATTTATTTTCAAACTCTCTCCCCTTCTTGGCTCTGCAGGCCTAGCCGACTCCAAGACTCCTGTAGAGACTAAATGAAAACTGCAACAGAAATGGAGAGCTTAGCGCTCCAGGTGATTACATCAGTAGTACCCCGAACGCTGCTCTGATATTCAGTCGTTTTTCATGAAGACTTTGTGCAAGGTATCTTCTAAAGCTGGCTAAACAGGACTGACCTACAAAACTTCTGACTGTCCAACATAAAAAAAACTATCCTGTGTAAAATACTGAGCTGCATGGCCTTGCTCTAGCATGAGAGCCACGTGAAAGCTGAAGGGTTGTGTTCAAAATTCTTGTCTTCTGGTCCCCCCCCCAAAACGGGCAGCTGCAAATGACGTCACCCTTTTCCCCTGCATTTACTTCCTAAATTTTTTATAAGGATGTGCTGGTTTAATTAGGTCAGAAAAGCTGTCAGTGCCCCGTTCTACAGAGCAGGAATAACACAGAACTTTCCAGTTTCCTACAGCTCGAAACAACTCCAATAAAGCCGCATCGTTAAGTGCAATTTACTCTCCAGTGGAGATCAGCCCACTGAATGCTAAAGATTATTCAGCCTTGTTTGTTCCACAGCCCCCTCTCCCTTCTCTATATCTGAATATGCACGAGGGAATTGACTACTGAAGAGATGATAACAACTACCACCAGCAAGATGCCAGCAAGAAAGCCACAAACCTTTCTTTCAGCAAAAATGCATTCAGTGGCTCTGACGCAAACAAAACAAAATAAGACTAATGGCCTCTGGGCATAGGAATCTGTGTAACCCTCAACAAATCTTTTCACCTCCGTTTTCCATGTCACAGGGAGCTTATCTGTAATTCTGACATATCCACTAACAATCTTTTAAGTTAAGTTTTTTCCTCTTCAAATCTTCTTCTCCCCACCCACACCTCAAGGGGCAGAGTAAACAGAAAATATATCCTTGTAAACTAGCTGGGAATCAATAATTGAAGTTTATGTTTTCAGTTGATTCTTGTCAATCAAGAACTTTAGCAAAGAATGTTCTCTATCAAAAGTCAATATACGATTATTCCTAGAAAATAATGTAAACTACTTATTTTGCTAGAGGCAGATTCACACAACAAAAAAAACGTTCAAGCTATACACACCTGTAACCTGCTGCAGGAAGCTTCTCCAATGCTACCAAAACTATAGTAGCTATTTTACAGCATTATATATTATAATGTACCCATACACTACTCAGAATTTCTCTCTGAACTACAGCAGTGATAGAATCTTGTAAAGTATTGGAAGCAAGACACAGGAGAATAGATGTTTCAGCTTATGAGAGCAACAGCGATCTTCCTGCATAGGATGTACCTGATTCCCTAGAGCCTTTCACGAGGCAGAGAAGAAAGTTAACGAGTTCTTCGGGAAAGGTAAAATTATTCCTAATAGATAATTCTGATTTCTTAAAAATCGCTTGAGTAGATTCACTACTCTGAAATCCTAATCTCATCAGCAACATCAGCTGTTTCGGAGGAGGAAAGGAAAGGAGAGATCCTACTGTTATCTCATCTTGCTGTTTTTGCTTAATCAACCATGACCTCTGTTTAGATGAGTATCTGCAAAGTCAAGGACACTGTACAAGTGGAACTACAGAAATAAAGATAAGGGGAAAGCATGATCTTGCAATTAAGACAAGAACAACAGGAATCGCCCTTCAATTGCCAGCTTTAAAGCAGATTTTGACACAGCTGCATCAAGTGGCCAGGACTGACCATCAAGTGGAAAAAGAAAAACAGTGACTTATCTTTAATAAGAAAAAGAAAGCTGTGTGACTGCAGCTTACAGAAATGAAATATCATTTCTCTAATGAGAAACTCCAATAAACTAATTTTTGCCCAAGAGAAGGGGATATTGTGGACCTATTTTTAATAATAGCTTAAAATTCTGATGGATATCTGCTTACTAAGCAGTTTCCTAAGCATGCGTATACGTCTAAGTGCTCAGAACAAAAGTTGCTGAACATAGGACTTGCAAACTGCTTCCAAACGAATGGTGGTGGGGGAGAACTTATGTGAAAAGATACCTGAAGGCCTCCCTAAACTACTAAGCAATACTTTAGGGTGCTGCTGTTTTCCCAGTCTCCAAACTGGAGTTCGCTTTAGAAGCGGTTCTACAGATGTAGATGTTTTGCTTAGAAAATGGAGCTACTGAATCTATCTAGTGCAGTAGTGGGACCCTCCATCCAACTGCTCACTGGTTACTGGTCAAAGACAATCTGATTCACCACATTAGAATAAAACTGAGGAGGAAGCAGATAAATGTGAGCAGAGAGAGATACATGTTCTTTATAAAGGCAGAAAGTTGCATAGAAGGAAGTCTAGCAAAGAAAAGCGTAAGCCAGATAGTGACCTGTAGGGCATTACTTAATAGTGAACACTTACTTTCCTGTTCAGTGCTACTAAAATAGTCTGGAAGCAAGTAAGTACAGTTCAGATGGCCTGTCTGATCAGCAGTTCAAGGTCAGCAGTGAATGGAATTAAATTAAAATTCAGTCTTATTACTTGTAGACAAGCCAGCCAAAGCCTTCCTGTTAATTAACAAAACCCTGTTAAGCAAGGCCCTGATGCTATAAGTCTTATGAATGAAGCTACTGGAACAGCTTTATAGGTCTGGAAACCATGCTGATGTCCCCAGTACAGCTGCATCTCTTGCTCACCATCTCCAGTGAGGATATATACTAACATCAGACGCTAAATCTGCCTCCGCCCATTCCTTCATCTCTTTCTCCACCACCTTCCTTTAGCACTTTGCTGAGCAACAGGGCACAAACTATCAACAGGTTGTTCAATATTATCAGTCTGGGGAGGACAGGTAGTTGAGGAATGACAAGAGGCACCTGTGGTTCCTTCTAGGTGTTCTTCTTCAGGAAGAGACAAAGCCTGGGGATTAGCTACCTGCAGAGAAAACAATCCTTTCTATATTGCCTTTCAAGGGAAAAGGCACCCGTCTTCCTCAGAAAGCAAACTCCCCAGAGTGGCAAAGAACAGATTGTTCATATAATCCATTGGAGAGGCAGCGTCCTTCCCTGCAGGAGTGGTGGGCTGGCCTAGGAGCCACATCACCATGCTGAGGGCATGCAGGAGAGGCAGAGCAGGCTGTATAGCATCAGGGAAGATGAAAAAAGAAACAAACTAGATCCTCTCCCAGACCCTGCAGAAAGGAGCACCTCAGCCCCCAAGAGCACAACAGGAGGGGCAGTGGGAGTCTCTGCTTGCTGTGTTTCAGCTGGGGACTCCTGCAATGTTGGGGAGAGGGAGGATAGTGACTTCAGGCAGCAGTAGGATAGCTCCTTCTCCACCCACAGGTTCAGCACCCTGGCAGCAGAGACAGGAGAAAACCCTGGTAAGAGTCAGAGCTGCCAAGCCTGAGCCATGAGACAACGTCAGTAGTGGTGGGAGACCCCTTGCTGCGGGGACAGAGGCCCCATCAGCCAACCTGGCCTGCTGTCTGGGCAGGGGGATTGCTGCTTGCGTGGTGTTCAGGTCCAGGATGCTATGGAGAGACTGCTGATGAGGTTTTTCCAGCCCTCAGACTATTACTTCCCTCTTGGGCTCTAATGAGCTGGGGAGACTTGGAGAGTATTAGGAGTGACTGCATGACTCTGGGATGAGGGCCAAGGGCACGGGTGTCCAGGTGGAGCCCCGTTGATCCTACTGCTGATGGGAAAGGGCTTAAGAAATGGACAGATCCTACAGGTCAATGACTGGTTTCACAGCTGGTGTCAGCAGCAGGGATTTGGCTTTTATGACCATGCAACCTTCTCTGAGGATCAAAGACTACTTGGAAGAGATGGGATCCTTATTGAGGTAAAAGCATCTTTGCTGACAGGCAGGCCAAAGTGGTAAGGAGGGCTTTCAATTAGGAACAACAGGGGAGGGAGATGACAATGCACAGTCAAGTGAGGAAACGATGCCTGG